GGAGTGTAGTGCTTCTGTTCTCCGATGGCTCTGCTCTCTAAAACTGAATGTGTTTACCAACCTGGAAGTTCTCTGAACCTCATCCCTTGGGTTTTATGGAGGCTATATTATTATACAGGTATGACTGAATAAATTTCAGTCATTTAGAGGTGGCACAGGAAACGGTGTGGGTGTGGGCATCTAGCTGTATTCTGCCTCATCATGCAACCCTGGGCAACGACTAAGCCTGAGCCCCATGGGACTGGCCCCTGGCAGAAATAGGCCCTTGCTCCACTCTGCCATGTCCTGAGGACTGATCCTAGTGAGAGGAGGGAGTAAGAGAAGGTGGACTGCTACATGCAAAGGCTTGGAGCTCTCCCACTTTGGGGATAGAGGGTTGAGTGTGCTCATGAGGAAAGGAATGGGAGAGGGAAGCTGAGGAATGAGGCCTTGGCTGACAGTCTGAGAGCTTGAAAAGCGAGGAGGAACATGGTCTAGCTTTTCTTTGGTTTGTCAAATATTTACTGAGTGCCTCCTATGTGCCAGCGACTGGCTAATGAGAGGTATAGATGTGACACTCAAAATTGCTGGCTCTGTAGGCTGGCTGTGGTTGCTGCTGCTGTGATGGGACAGATTAGGTCACCCTCAGCCCTGGTTTCCCTGGCCCAAACCCAGCCCCTAGGGATGAAGCCAAGCTGTGCTTAGCACAGGTCCTGTGGTCGCCTGCCAGGTGCCAGGTTGCAGGGGGTGCCTAGGGCAACTGGTCAGATTGCCAAGCTGCTTCACAAACAGAGACCATCCTCATGCTGCTTGTCACCCAGAGGCACAGTTACCCCAGGAAGTGCCTGAGTTCAGGCATCATGCCAAGGTTTGGGGTCCCTTTCTGGGGCACACGTTTAGCTGGGCTTGAGAGCACCTTAGCCAGGATCCCCTGTGGGTACAGTTGGCTCTACCTGCCAGTGCATTCTTCCCATGTGCTTGCCTAGACCCCCAGGAGAGCAGCCCCTGGCTCCTAAGGTGTGCAGTTGTATGGAAGAAGCCCAGCTGTGGCCCCAGGAGCCTTTCTCCAGCGTCAAGTCCTTGCCCAGTGCTCAGACCACACAGAGACCAGCGGAGAGGTGTGCACCGTGAACACCTGCGGGCTCTTTGAATCTAGATTCATCAATTGGGAACATTTTTTTCTATTTAGATAAAATTCACATAAAAACCATTTTAATATGTATAATTCAGTGGCGTTTAGTACACTTAGTAAGTTTACTATGTTTAGTGTTATGTAACCATCAGTGTAGTCTAAAATACTTCCATCACCCTAAGAGGAAACCTCTTGTCCATCAGGCGTTCTCTGTTATTCCTCCTCTCAGCTCCTGGCAACTACCAGTTTGCTTTCTGTCTCTGTGGATATGCTGAGTATGCATGTTTTGTATAGATGGGATTATTTATGTGTGACCTTTGTGTCTTGACTTTTTTTTTTTTTACTTAGCATGTTTCTGGAAAGGTTTGTCCATGTTGTCGCATGGGTCAGGACTCCATTTATTTTTATGGCTGGGTAATATTTCGTGTGTGGATGGACCATAGCTTGTTTATCCGTTTAGTACCTGGTAGACCACTGAGTTGTGAAGAGGATTATGAATATTTGCATACAAGTAGTTGTTTGAGCACTTAGAATTCTTTTGTATATGTACCTAGGAATGGAATTGCCAAGTCAAATGATAATTCCATATTGAACTTTTCTCCCTTCTCTTACTTATTTTTAGTTTATTTATTGTCTTTTTTTTGAGGAACTGCCAAACTTTTCCACAGCAAACTATGACGTTTCCACTTTCTCCACATCCTCACCTATATTTGCTGCTTTTCTCTTTTGTGTTTTAAATTATGGCTAGCTTGATGAGCATGTAGTGTTACCTTGTGGTTTTAATGTACATTTCAATAATGAGGAAAGATAGTGAGCATTTTTCATATACTTTTGGCCTTTTGTGTATCTTGTTTGGAGAACAGCCTTTTCAAGTCCTTTGCCTACTTTTTTTTTTTTTTTAAAGATTTATTTATTTGTGCATACAGAACTGGGGTACAGGCCAGAGGTGCAGGGGCGGCGAGAGGCTTCACCAGAGACAGAGCGGGGAGCAGAACAGGCAGATTGATGAAGTACACTGCTGAGGGGAGCAGCGGGCAGGTCAGGAGAGGTCTGCCACGTCATGTGGTTGCCTCCAGGGCAGGCGGGAATCGAACTCATGCGTAAGTGGCTTAAGCTTCTTAGTGCAGTGCTTTAACCCTCTGTGCCACCAGGGAGGGCCCTTTGCCCATTTTTATTTTAGTTGTATGCCTTCATTTTAAAAAAAGATTTATTTACTTACACATACAAGAACTGGGGTACAGGCCAGAGGTGCAGGAGATGAGAGGATTCATCAGAGACAGAGTGGGGAGCAGAACAGGCAGATTGACTGAAATACACTGTTGAGGGGAGCAATGGGTGGGTCAGGAGAGGTCTGCTACACCATGTGGGTCAGCTCCCTGGCCGGATATTGAGCTCATGCTGCAGTGGCTGTGATAGCTTCATAATGCTGCATTTTTTATTTTTATTTTTATTTTATAACAGTTTATTTTTACATCATTTTGTACATTTTTTTTTTCCATCTCAATTCTCAATTGTAATCCCTGCAGGTTTCCCATCACCAAGTCACCTGTGTGCCCATGTGCCATCACCATAGTTCAGTGCATTTCCCTCTCCCCACTGTTTTTGACCCCATTCCCCACTCCACCCCTGCAAAATGTCTCTGGTATATGGTTGTTCACATAATGCTGCATTTTAACCCACTGCACCCTGGTTGTATATCTTTTAATTGTAAGAATTCTTCACATATGAACCTTCCTATGTGAAGGAGTTAAGTCTCAGCACTATGAAGCTATACACAGTCATTATAGCACGAGTTCAATCCCCAGCAAGGGAGCTAACCCACATGTTGGAGCAGACCTCTCCTATCTTGCCTGTTGCTCCCCTCAGCAGTGTATTTCAGTCAGTCTGCCCATTATGTCTCTGTTTAATCACCTCTGCACCTCTGGCCAACACCCCAGCTCTTGTATGCATAAATTTTTTTTAAAGATTTATTTATTTTATTCATACAAAACTGGGGTACAGGCCAAAGATGCGGAGGGTGAGAGAATTCACCAGGGACAGAGTGGGGAGCAGAACAGGCAGATCAATGAAGTACACTGCTGAGGGGAGCAGCGGGCAGGTCAGGAGAGGTCTGCCTCGCCATGTGGTCACCTCCGGGACAGGCGGGAATCGAACTCATGTGGAAGTGACTTGAGCTTCTTAGTGCAGTGCTTTAACCCGCTGCGCCGCCACCAGGGAGGGCCAATAATTTTTTTTTTTTAGAGAGAATTCTTCATGTAGTCTTGGTTCTAGATCTGTGATTGGCAAATATTTATCAGATATGTGATTGGCAAATATTTCCTCCCATTCTGTAGGTGGTCTTTTCACTTTCTTGATAGTGCTCTTGGATGCACAAAAAATTTTGACTTTGATGAAGGTCAGTTTATATAATTTTTTTCTTTAATCTATCACCAAGTCCAAGGTCATGAAGATTTAACCTTAAATTTTCTTCTAGGAGTATTAAAGTTTTAACTTTCACATTTAGGCCATTGATCCATTTTAGTAGAGTTTTATATATGTTGTGAGTTAGGGGTCCAACTTCATTCGTTTACTTGGCCCAGTACCATTTTGGTAGAGACTGTATTTTCACCATTGAATCAACATTCTTGACACCCTTGTTGAAACTCAATTGATTAAATTGCACCTGCTTTTAAAAAAGTTTTTATATATGTATGCAAGAACTGGGGTACAGGTCAGAGGTGCAGGAGAGAGAAGATTCACAAGAGACAGAGTAGGGAGCAGAACAGTGCATCTATTGAAATACACTGCTGAAGAGAGCAGCAGGGGGAGACAGGAGAGGTCCACTATGCCATGTGGGTCACTTCTCTGGTCAGGGATCAAATTCAGTGGCTGGTAATAGTTTGACAGAGCTGAGACTTTAATCCCTGTGCCATCAGGACAGCCCCCATTATAACTTTTGAGAGGTTTTTTTTGTTTGGCTCTTGTCCAGGATCACACTTTGAATTTTAGCCTCTCTTTCTCTGTTAACCCTATTTGACAGAAAAACAAGCTCAGGTACGCTAAGTGACCTGCCTGTGTCAAACTAAGAGATATAGGCAGGGCACGCGTCCAGGCTGTCCTGCTCTGATGGCTGCAGTGGCTTACCATCATTACAGCATATACATGTAAGAAAGGGGTCAGCTGAAGGAAGTAGAGGTACCTCTGGGAATTCTTTTTTTGGGTTCCCACACCAGCTATGAAGTCCAGTGATTTTCTGCAGTGTGACCAGAGAATTGGCAAGTGTATATCTAACTCTCAGTGGGGCATGGAGCATGCTGCTAGGTCTTATGACTGTTGAAGTTGCCCTTACAGAGCTTCCTCCACCATTTAAAAGTAGAGCATTCTTATGGAAGCTCTTATAAGGTAAAATTGCATAAAGGGAAGAAGCTGAATGCTATTGTCTCTTCACTGTGAAAGTGAAAAGTCCTCTTTGGATTTCTTTTGCTTATCAAAAACAGATGATAAACAGGTAGGTCTAGCATAAAGGTGAAATGATGTCAATACCTGCATTCAAATACCTGTGTTGCCTGTGTCCTCCAATATCATGCCCAAGTGGACCAGGATGGGGTCTGGCACCAGGTGCTGCTCCATGGGAAATATCCTAGCAGAGGTCTCCACTCCGGGCTTCTGTCTCAGCCTTGCTGCCCTGTGGATAGCCCCTAGGACAGGTTGTGTTCTGGTTTCCCTGTTTACTCACTGATCATCACTTTGACCTCAGTATTGTCTGGACAGGTAGGTCAAATGACAGCACTTCCAGGGTGGGTTTTGTGATACTCCAGAAGAAAATCTGGGAGTCTGAGTATAGCATGATGCAATTAGAACAAGTGTCCCTGAGACCCACCGCTCAACGCCCACCTCTTTCCTCTTGTAGATGAAGATGTTTGTGTGTTTAAGTGCTCAGTGTCCCGGGAGACGGAGTGCAGCCGTGTGGGGAAGCAGTCCTTTATCATCACCCTGGGCTGCAACAGTGTCCTCATCCAGTTCGCCACACCGAACGGTATGAATCCCCTCACTCTCAGCAGCTTGGTTGAAAGGTGGGCTGTGTGGCCAGTGAATGTTCCACTGCCATCAAAAATCTTATCCCTATGAGGAGATAAAACCGGCTAAGAGTATGTTCCTGCTGCTCTGTCCTTCGCAGCTCCTTTGGGTCCTTCAGGACCTGGCTCCTGTGGCCCTTCTCCAACAGACCGACTACGCCCCAACCTGGTGTGTTCCTTTCAAAGAAGCCGGTCATGGTGGGGATCTTTCAGTCCCTATCATTTTTTTAAATTGATAAAGCACATGTAACCAATATTTGCCATGTTTTAGTGTAAGCTTCAGTGGCATTAAGCACTTTTTTATGTCAGCCTTTACCACCATCAGCCCCAGAACTTTTGCATCTTAGTTTTTAGAGATTGCGATATACTTTTTTAAAAATGGTGATAAAATCCATATAACATTTACCATCATGTTGGGCAGCAGTCACCCAGAACTCTTCATTTTACAAAACGGAAATTTCCCCCACAAAATATCAACACCCCATCCTCTCTCAGCCTCTGGACTCCACTGTTCTACTTTATGTCTCTGGTTGTTTTCCTTTATCTTGACAGAATTTAGAGGTCATCTTTCTGTACGAATATATACAATTTAGTGCATGTTCTCTGCTTCTGCATACCTGTGATCGGTCTTCTGATGGCTTCCTATGTCCACGGGTGCCATCTTCTTTATGTCCACAGGTTCCATCTAGTTCGCTCTTTTGGATATTGTCCTCTGCCACACACAGACAACCTCGAACTTTGGGATGGGTTTTTTCTGCCTATTTGCTGCGGCAAATCCCAGAGATTGACGCTTCAGTCAATGCTGCTTCAAAGTCTTGGTTGGTGTTACCTGATAGCCCACAGTGGGTGTGGAATGCCTGCTCTTCAGAGTACAGGGACACCTGCCTTCTGAGTCAGCGACCAACGGGCAGCCTTGACCACCCTTCTTTTTGTTAAATTTCAACATTGTGTTTAGGAAAAAGAAATTGCTAAATACACATTCAAGAGAGAAAAATCAGGATGTGCCGCTAGATGTAAAGAGGGACCACCAGCTTGTCTTACCACTCCCCCTCCAAGAGGGACTTGTGTGACCTGACTTCCTCCTTCCAGATTTCTTTTCCTTCTACAACATCCTGAAAACCTGCCGGGGGCACACCCTGGAGCGGTCGGTGTTCAGCGAGCGCACAGAGGAATCCTCTGCCGTGCAGTATTTCCAGGTGGGTCTGGCACTTCCCCTAGGCGGGCCACACAACACAGGGCATACCCCCTTGGGTTCATATTCTGTATCTTTAGTGGCCGTGGGGCCTTGGGCAGGTGTCCTTCACATGCTGGGCCTCAGTTTCCTCATCTGTGAAACGGAGATACCAGTGCCTTACCTAAGAGGGTTGTTGGAAGGATGTTAGTGCAGGTGAAACTTAGGCATGTGGACATTTTGAGTAACAGTAGAACAGTCTAAGAACTGACCACAGATTAAAGGCTAGGCACTGGTGTAAGTGATCTCACATGTAGGGGAGAACTTGATTCCTCCCAACAACTCTAGGAGGTAAGTACTATTATTATTCCCATTTTACAGATGAGAAAACTGAGGCTCAGAGAGGTTAAGTGACTTGCTCCAAGTCACACAGCTATTATGCAACAGAACCAAGATGGGAAACCAGGTCTACCTGATGCCAAAGCCTGTGCCCCTGCCCAGATGCTGCACTGCTTCCTGATCGTCTGTTGTCTTACAGAGAGACCCCGCAGCACCTTACCAGCCTGGTGCTCTGAATTCTAGGGTTCTGTTTGATTTGCTCCTCCATGCTTTGGGGCCCCTAGGATGGGGCAGATGATACCTGGTCTTAGAACACCACCTCTGGCAAAACCTGAGTTCTCCTGAATGACTCCCAGGTCCAGGTGTCATCCAGTTCTGTCCTTCAGCCAGTGGTGATGGTGGCAGTGTCCCTGCTGGGAGTTGGCTTCCAGCTTCCTGCTCAGTGGGGTCCAGGCCAGCAAGAGGGGGGTGTGGATGACCTCCAAAGAGGCTTGTGCTAGAGGCACAGCACCTGCTCTGACAGGGCAAGCCAGAACCGTGACCCTCTGTGCCCCTGCCACATGCCCTGTGCCATTGGCATGTCTCTGTTCCAGTTTTATGGCTACCTGTCCCAGCAGCAGAACATGATGCAGGACTACGTGCGGACGGGCACCTATCAGCGTGCGATCCTACAGAACCACACAGACTTCAAGGATAAGGTAAGCGAGATCACATGTGCCCTCTGTGGGCCTCTGGCATGCCTCCCTTTGCCTTTGCCTCATTGTGTCAGTTGTTTGTATATTTTTTTTCTTTGTGTGTTGACTTTAATTTTTTGGGGGGCACAAAACCAAATCTACTTACTATAAAAACCCATGTGTGAAATAACAGGTATGAAGAGCCTCTGTCATTTATTTCAAAACAACTTATGCTGGTAGTAAAGCCTCTTCCAGATTTCCCCCCAGCATATATTAGCATGTTTTACATTTCTCTCTTTGGTTTTTGTTATCAAGCAACAAAATAGGACTCTATCCTCCATACTCTTCCTGCAAAATACTTCCTTACCTAGTGGTATGTCTTGGGACATACTGGTAAGTCATGTGGTTGTGATGTTATTCAGTTACTAAAGGAACTTTAGTTCCTTTTAAAATCTTTTTACTATCAATAAGCAGTGTACATATACTCATGGTTAAAGAGAAAACAGTCCAGAGTGTATAGGTTCTATGGAGAAAGTTTGTTCCCTTCTTTTCCTGTGACCTAGAATTTCCTTTTTCTTTCTTTTTTTAAATGCATATAAGAACTGGGGTGTAGGCCATAGGTGCAGGGGTGGTAAGAGGATCCACCAGAGACAGAAGAGGGAACAGAACAGGCAGATTGACTGAAATACACTGCTGAGGGGAGCAGTGTTGAGACGAGGTCTGCTATGCCATGTGTCAGCTCCTGGCCGGGGATTGAACTCATGCTGCAGGGATTAGCATGCTGCCAGCAGATATTGCCGCCAGTACCTCCCATTGTTCTTTTCCTTTCTGAGAGGGCCCCAGAGACCTGCTCATCTGCTACACTGGCTTCTTGGGAGGACATGGTTTCAGCCCAGCTGATGTAGAGGCCTGGCGGGCTACCCTCTTTTTGCGCTAAGTGCTCTCCACTCAGCACTTAGGCCTCCAGCTCTGAGGTGTTCTTTCCTAGCAAGAGCTCATTCCCAGAGAGACTGGACAAGCTGATATCCAAGCTGCATAGATAGTAAACTACTCAGGTTTTTCCTTTAGAATCAGATCTGGTTATTTGTGGTGGTCTTAATATCCTAGCTTCAGAGCTTCTTCAGAGACCCTATTCTACTACTTTCAGGTCCAGAAACAGGGCTCCCCCTGTATTTCAGATGGTTCTTTAAAACAGCCTTTTGGACAGCCAGTGGTGTTAAGGGGAAGCAGACTTCAGGGCATGGAGTGGGTCTTTCAGAGAGTAAACACCATTCTCGGTCCCCCAGTACATACCTGTCACAATTGTCACTTCACCAGTGTCTTATTTTTCCCATCCCTTCTTGTTCAGATCGTACTTGATGTTGGCTGTGGCTCCGGGATACTGTCATTTTTTGCTGCCCAAGCCGGAGCAAGGAAGATCTATGCCGTGGAGGCCAGCACCATGGCCCAGCATGCTGAGGTCAGCAGCCTACTGGGATCCCAGCCCATTCTCACCCTCTTTCTGCACTCTGTACATGCTTCAGTATGGGCTGCCAGCCCTGCTGCATCCTCTAAGGGGAGCAGTTGTTTACTTCAGTGTCTTGTCCCCAAAACTAAGTGGTTTTGGAAGGCGGGTACTTGCTGGGCCTCAGGGGCTGTTTCATCCTACTGGTCACCAGTGCCAGTTTTTTGGGCAGTTTGTGCTCTCCAGGGGCTGTGTAGCCTGGTGCTTCAGAGCTTGGACTACATAGTCACATTTGTAGATGTGGGTGACCACAGGATTTAGTTTAATTTTTTCCCTTTCTTGCGCTAAAACCGTCATTCTGAATTTAGAACCTAAGAGCTGCAAACAACTGTTAACCCAGACAGTGAAGATGCTGCCTTAGCCCATCCATGGTCCCTGCCACCATACCCCCTTGTTTCAGGGGAACACTCCTGAAAGCTCTCTAGAGCTGTTTGTGGCCACAAAGCCCGCGTGTCCCCTCCTCCATCTGCCCAGAGCCCACACAAATGAGCATATGACTACCTGGCCCCTTGCTTTGTCCCCTTTACAATGTACCAGGGGCTGCGTCCTCCAGTGGACAGCTCCCTCAGTTTCTAGTGACTGCACAGCATTTCTGCCCAGACAGACCATTGTTTAGACACACATAAGGATGTCGTTGACATTTAAGCTGTATCTTAGTCTTCGCAGCACAAGCACATGCTGTATGAGCCTGTGTGCATGTGTCACTCCCTACTTGCAGTTATCTTAGCACAGATTCTAAGTGCTGGACTGCTGCCTGAGGGCTGTGCATCCACATTTAGCTTTGGTGGTTTTAGCAAAGTCTCATCCCCATGTCTGCACCTCTTAGCCATTGTCCCGTAAGGGTAGAGGTGACCTCAGGGGCCTGGGTGACCACATCAGGGAAGGATAGAGGGGAATAGATTACTGATGGCTTGTAAGTGAATTTGGCTGTGGCGAGGAGCTTGTTAAGGAGGCAGCAGGGAGTTTGGCAACAACAGGGAAACAGGTTTTCCTGATTGGAGATGTGGGCACGGGGACCCCTCACCTCATTGACTTGCTTGGTTGTAGGTCTTAGTGAAGAGTAACAACCTCACTGACCGAATCGTGGTCATCCCCGGGAAGGTGGAAGAGGTCTCTCTCCCTGAGCAGGTGGACATCATCATCTCGGAGCCCATGGGCTACATGCTGTTCAATGAGCGCATGCTTGAGAGCTACCTCCACGCCAAGAAGTACCTGAAGCCCAGTGGTGAGTGTCCTGCTGCTGGGTGAGCAGCTACCATGCTGGGGCTTCACAAGCTCCCTTGTAGAGCCCTGGCTGCTGCTCATTAGGCACAGTGGTGGTTCAGCTCCCTGCTGGCCTGTGCCAATGCCAGAGTGCAGGGGATGTCAGGGTCTTTGCCTGCTGCTTCCTACCCCAGCCCTATTCCAGATGGCTATTATTGGTAGTCCTGGCTCCCAAACAAGGTCACCATCTCTCCGCCCCACCCACCCAGCCAGAGTACACAGGAGATCTCCTCAAACCCCCAGGCTGCCTCTGCCATTTAGAACCCCTATGTCATTGGGTGGTGTCCACTGGAAAGGGATTGGGCACAAGCTCTAATGCAGTTCGGTAGGCACACCTTGCCCAAGGAGCTGGCCTGTCGTCTGCATTCCTAAGGGCTCTATGAACCATGCCCTCATCTTGCTGAGTCCCAGCATTCTTCAAAACCAGGGATGTCTGTGTATGTGTGTGCACATATGTGGACTGGAGTTGGGGGGCAGCTGTCTGGTTTTCCTGTGTGTCCATTCTCCTGGGTAACTGATAGCTTAATGTCTGCTGGTATGTATCCATCTCTATTTGGTTCCGATATCATATGTATTTCTGTATATGCAGGGAGGTGTGTGTGTGTGTGCGTGTGTGTGTGTGCGTGTGTGCGCGCGCGCGTGTGTGTGTGTGTGTGTGTGTGTGTGTGTGTGTGTGGCACAGGAGGGCCAGAAGCAGGGTGGCAGCCATGGGGCAAAACATGGGGATTCATTCAGTGACAGTGGGATTTTACTTTGCCTGTGGGGAAGTACCCACTCCATCCTCTGGCCCTTGTTGGTTGAGGCCTTTACTGTGCTATGGGCTCTGCTCCTGGATGTAGTAGGTGATTTGCAGGCCTTGTGGCATGGCTAGCTCCTGTGTCCTGGCAAGCATGAGAAGTGGACTGTCTTAGCCCTGCTCGCCTATGTTTCCTAGATGTGGTGGCCCTGCCACAGTGTGCTGTTCCTTATGGGACGTAAAGGCAATCAGAGGGATTCTGGCGGGTAGCTGCATATCCCTCTGCTCAAGCAGCCTTCCTAGGATAAGGCCTGAGGCCACTGCCCCTTCCCCAGTCTGTATGCATCTGTTTTATTCCTCCTCAGGAAACTCTTTGGGGGAATAAAGGGAATTCTTCCCCTGGCATATGTCTTCAGGGCTGAGGGCATCAACTTATGATGCCGCAGAAGGTTAGTAAGGTCCTCTGGGGCAGGTGAATCTTCAGGTGGCCCCTGAAACAGAGTCCAGGAGCTCCTTCCCCGACCCTGTGGCAGTGGCTTGAAGCTCTTGAAGATGGCAGATCCTGCTAGCCCGTCAGGGGCCATTTTCTGCCTTAGAACAATGGAGGTAGACTCATATCTGGAACTCAGGGTCCTAGACTTTTCAAGGTAGGCAGGGTCTTCTGAGCCCTGGCTGTGCCTGTCATTGACTGACTCATGACTGTTCATGAGATGAACAGATGAAGACCCTGCCCTGATTCCACTTTAGGCTGTGGGATCATCAGATGAGAGGAGTCACTAGAGACAGAGTGGGGAACAGAATAGGCCAGAGCTCTGCCAGTCATGCTGATGGAATTTTCGCTGCATCCACAACCAGTTTGCAGCCTCAGCTGAGGCCCCAGTGGCATAGCACAGGGCTCACCCTCATTCTGTCCAGAACACTTTTCCTTGCTTTCTGTCATGACCAGCCAGCTGAGGGAGCCTGGCCGTAGTGGTCTGGCTACACCCTGGGCACTGCTTATTTGCCCCTGAGGCTCTGGTAGGTGCCTTCTTGCCTCCCAGCCCTAGTAATGGGGCATAAGGATAGGCCTTCCTGGGTGGTTGGCTGAGTTTAGTGAGATGTCTGGGTTTAGTCAGATGGTACCTGTCAAGTGCTTGTCATGACCCTTAGCAGTGTGGGTGCTGTATCTGCATCACCTGACTGCATGAGATGAATGAAGGAATGAATGAGAGGCTGGGAGGCCCAGGGTTGGTCCTGGGGTTCTTTGGAGGTTCTGCCTGGCCCTGCGGCATGTCCCACCCTGATGTCAGCACCCTCCCTGCCCCCTACTCCCAGGAAACATGTTCCCCACCATTGGTGACGTCCACCTCGCGCCCTTCACGGATGAACAGCTCTACATGGAGCAGTTCACCAAGGCCAACTTCTGGTGAGTGTGCTCTGGGTGTTCTGCCCAGGCCCCACGCCTGCCTTCTCCGGGATGGCCCGCTTCTTTTTTTCCCCCCCTCATCCTCAGTAGGACGTGAAAGACTTGAGCTGGACAAGGGCCAGCTGGGAGAGAAGGCAGATGCACACCTGCCTCTCCAGCTGCTAGTGACCTTGCTGTGGGGGGTTTGGGGCTTTCTCTGCAGGTACCAGCCATCCTTCCACGGAGTAGACCTGTCAGCCCTCCGAGGTGCAGCGGTGGATGAATATTTCCGGCAGCCTGTGGTGGTGAGTGGGATACCCAGGGCACTGTCGCAGTTAATATTGGGCATGGCCCTCCTCTGGGGTGATAGGTTTCCTTGTTAGGCATGTGCCAACTGTGCAGCCCTGGGTAGCCACTGTCTTCTGGCTTCTGCCCCTACACAGAGCTCTCTCTCTCTCTCTCTCTCTCAGAAATGGTAGGAATAGTGGCACAAAGCATTTAGCTCAGTGTGCAGTAGCATGCAGTACCCATGAATTGTTACCAGATAGTGCATTCTTGGTGAACTGAATTTATTGACTGAGTGATTTTAATTATTGAGGTTTTTAAAAAAGATTTATTTATGTATATAGAACTGGGGTACAAGCCAGAGAGGTACAGGGGCTGTGAGATGATTCACCAGAGACAGAGTGGAGAGCAGAATAGGCAGATTGATGAAGTACACTGCTAAGGTCTGCCATGCCATATGGATCACCTCTAGGGCCTGGGATGGAACTCACACTGAAGCGGCTGCAGCCAGCTTGCAGTGCTGTGTCCTTATCTCTGTTGCGCCACCAGGGAGGGCCTAATTATTGAGATTTTTTTTTTAATTGTTTATTTTTACATCATTTTGTACATTTTTTTTTCATCTCAATGGTAATCCCCGTGTGTTTCCCATCACCAAGTAACCAATGTGCTCTCACCATAGTCGAGTGCACTTCCCTCCCCCCTTCCCCATTTTTGATCCCATTCCCCACTCCACCCCCATAAAATGTCTCTGGTATATGGCTGTTCATTATTATTATTTTCTCGCCTGGTCCATTATACTCCTGCTGTGAGGGAAATCATCGGTATTTTTCTTTTCTCTTTCTGGCTTATCTCACTAAGCATGATCTTTCCCAGCTCCATCCAAGTTGCTGTAAAAGACATGTGTTTCTTTTTTTGGTTGCTGAATAATATTCCATTGTGTATATGTACCGCATCTCTTTAATCCAGTCATCTACTTTTGGGCATTTGGGTTGCTTCCATGTTTTTCCAATTGTCAATAAAGCAGCAATAAACATGGGGGTGAAGGTATCTTTTTCAATCTGTTTTTGTTTCTTTTGGGCAGATACTTAGGAGTGGGATTGCTGGGTCGTAGGGAAGCTCCATGTTTAGCAGTTTGAGGACCCTCCGAACAGTTTTCCATGGTGGTTGTACTCGTTTGCATTCCCACCAGCAGTGCAGGAGAGTTCCTTTTTCTTCACATCTTTACCAACATTATTTGTTGCTAGTTGTTTGAAGATGTGCCATTCTCACTGGGGTGAGGTGGTGTCTCATTGTGGTTTTAATTTGCATCTTCCTTATTATGAGTGATGAACATTTTTTCATATGCTTGTTGGCCATCTGCATTTCCTCTTTGGAGAAGTGTCTTTTTAGCTCTTATGCCCATTTTTTGATGGGGTT